TTTTGTATACTCTATTTATTCCACCAGAACCATCTTTGTAAATGTTTAATGAACATGAATTTAATGGAATGAAAGACTTTTGACTAATTCTTGTCTCATAGTGCTTTTTTTCATTGTTGCTTCTGAGTTATCATTTATCATTTATCACAAGTGTTTAGCGTTTAGCTCATAGTGCCAGTTGCCACTTACTTCACTAAATGCCTGGCGTTCGGCTGAATGCCACTTGCTACTTGGCCTTTTGTTTCTTAACAAATGTTTGGCCTTCTGCTCATTATGCCAGCTGCCATTTACTTTGCTAAGTGCCTGGCGCTCGACTGGAATGCCACTTGCCACTTGACTTTTTATTTTTAGTAAGTGTTGGCATTCGACTCGTAGTACCAGTTGCCACTTACTTTGCTGAGTGCCTAGCGTTCGGCTAGAATGCCACTTGCCACTTGGCTTTTTATTTTTAGCAAGTGTTTGGCGTTCGGCTTATAGTGCCAGTTGCCACTTACTTTGCTGAGTGCCTGACACTCGGCTAGAATGCCACTTGCCACTTGGCTTTTTATTTTTAGCAAGTGTTTGGCGTTTGGCTCATAGTGCGAGTTGCCACTTACTTTGCTGAGTGCCTGGCGCTGGCTAGAATGCCACTTGCCACTTGGCTTTTTATTTTTAGCAAGTGTTTGACGTTCGGCTTATAGTGCCAGTTGCCACTTACTTTGCTGAGTGCTTAACGTTCGGTCACCTTTTTGGAAGAAAATAATACTCTCTATAGATCTTTTGAAGTTTTATACATTCGTAAGCACACAATTGGAAATAAACATTGACCAGACTGGAATTCAATACTCAATTTTCTATTGGTAATACCTTTTCAAAGATGTGGCGTTCCATGGCTTGTTTACCAGCTTTCCAGCCATGGTCTCTAGGACATATGCCCCATTCCCTATGACTTCTACAACTCTATATGGTCCATCCCAAGGTGACACCATTTTCTTGACAATTCCAACCTTTTTTTTTAGAACCAAATCAGCAGGTGCAAAGTCCCTATGTCTCACCTTTCTGTTGTGACTATTTATAAGCGTCGGCTGATATGATGCCAGCTTAACTGCCGCTATATCCCTTTTCTCTTCAAGCAGAGCGAGGTTGAATTTCAGCATGTGATCATTCTGTTCTTGATTCCATGCTAGGCTTTGAATGGTTGGAACAAGGTGCTCGACCGGTATTACTGCCTCAGTACCATACGCCATGGTGAATGGGCTCTCTCCGGTCGATCGTCTCGGAGTCGTTCTGTAGGCCCATAAGATGTTCGGGAGCTCATCCAAATTTGCCTTTTTCTTCTTCAAGCTTCTTCTTTATACAAGTAGAGATCGTTTTGTTCGTGATCTCAGCTTGACCATTTGCTTGTGGATGGCTGACCGCTGCCAACTTTTGGTTAATTTCGTATTCTTCCAACAACTCACTCACTTGCTTGCTATCAAGATTAGTCCCATTGTCCATAACAATCGACCTCGGCACACCAAATCGACAGATGATGTTACTCTATCTAAATGAAGTGCCTCACTTGTGTCTGGGTCACATTGGTATATGGTTCTGCCTCCACCCATTTGGTAAAGTAGTCTATTTTAAGCAGAACGAACTTATTCTGTGATCTGGCGGTCGGTAGCGAGCCAACCACATCCATCCCCCATTGCGCAAAAGGCCATGGTTTGGCCATTACGTGCAAGTCTTCTGCTGGTTGGTGGATCAGCGGTCAGAACCTTTGGCACTTATCGCACTTTCTTGAGAATTCCTCCGCATCTCGTGACATGTTCGGACAAAAATACCCCTGTGTCATCGCTTTGTGTGCTAAAGACCTCCCCCCTGAATGGTTACTACACACACCTTCGTGGATAGTTCGCAGTATCTGCCGAGCTTCTGTGGGGGTTACACATTTCAAGTAAGGCCCTAAGTAAGACCTTTTATACAACTGGTTGTGCATTATGGCATACTTCATAGCATTTGATCTGATCTTCCTTGCTTCATCCCTCTGTTCGGGTAAAACTCTATCTCGTATGTATGCCAAATTGGATCTATCCAGCTCAGCTCATATGGTATGACATTTAGTTACTAAGGATCCGAGCTTGATGACTCTCCAAGGATAGATGGCTGGCACAACACACCAACTGGAATCACCCTTGTCAGTGTTTCCCCAAAACTCGACGCACTGCATGCCAACCGATCAGTGTCCTCGTTACATTCTCTCGGCAATTGGATGAACTTGATCAGATCAAAACTCTTAGCCTCTTGCATAACGGCTGAATGATATGCCTCTATTGTTTCATCTTTGGTTCCATACTCCCCAGTCACTTACCGAAGACCAGCTGCGAATCACTAAAAGCGACTAAACTTTTGACCTTTAGCTCCTTTGCCAACTTCAATCCAGCCAGTAGTGCTTCATATTCTGCTTCATTATTGGTTGCTCTGAACTCAAGTCTGATTACCTGGCTCAGCGTGGTGCCTTCTGGTGTCTGTAACTTGACCCCAATTCCTGCCCCCATCTGATTCGAAGAACCATCAACGAAAAGCTTCCACAAAGAGTCTTCAGGATTTTCCTCTGGCTCTTCCATATCACACTCCAGTAGGAAATCAGCCACAGTTCGCCCTTTGATGGCCGTTCGGGGTTCATACGTTATGTCAAAAGAACTTAGCTCTATTGCCCATTTCGTCATTCATCTGGACAAATTAGGCTTATGCAGGATCTCCCTTATGGGAAACGTGGTCAGAATGACTATGGGATGGGACTCGAAGTAATGCCTAAGTTTTCTGTTTGCATTTACTAAGGATAAGATTACTCATTCGGCCTTCGAATACCTTCTTTCTGGCTCGGTTAGCATTTTACTGACGTAGGAAACTGGGAATTGCTTACCTTTTTCACATCTTATCAGAACACCACTAGTTGCAATGTTGGAAACTCCAAGGTACAGGAAAACTTCTCACCTGGTTTTGGGCAGTCAGGACTGGTGGGTTTCGCATATACTCCTTCAACTTTGTCAGTGCTTGCCTCTGCTCATCCCCCCAGGATTGCTTTCTGTGACTTCATATTGTATCAAAGAATGGCTTGCATCGGTCTGATAACTTAGAGATGAATCGACTTAGTGCCGCTATGCATCCGGTAAGAGCTTGGACTTCCTTGACAGTGCTTGGTTCTGCATTTTTTAATAAAGCTTCCGCTTGGGCTGGGCTGACTTTAATCCCTCTGTTGTTGACCACGTGGCCAAGGAATTGACCGGATCCCATGCCGAACGAGCACTTGGTTAGGTTTAGCCTCATTTCATACCTTCTTAGTACATCCAACACTTCCTGTAAATGTTGCAAATGATGGTCCTTCTGTTTGCTCTTTACTACCATGTCATCGATGTAAGCTTCAACAGTTTTACCCATTTGATTCTTGAAAATCTTGCTGACCAACCTTTGGTACGTAGCCCCAGCATTCTTCAGTCCGAACGGCATGACCTTGTAACAGTAGGTCCCTCATTCAGTGACAAAAGAGGTCTTTTCCTCATCGTTCGGACCCATTACGATTTGATTGTAACTTGAATAGGCATCCAGGAAGGTTAATCATTCATACCCCGTTGTAGCGTTTATCATTTGATAAATCTTTGGAAGAGGAAAGCTATCCTTCGGGTAGGCTTTATTCAAATTGGTGAAGTCAATGCAAACCCTAAAATTTCTGTTCTTCTTTTGTACTACAACCACGTTCAACAGCCAGATTGGGTACTGAACTTCTCTGATCAACCCAGCCTCTAACAATCTATCAACTTCATCCGCAAGGATCTGGTTGCACTCCGGGGCGAACCTTCTCTGCTTTTGCCTTACAGGTTTAATGTTCGGATTTACACGAAGGGAATGACAAAAGACAGATGGGTCGATTCCCGGCATGTCCGAATGGCTCTAAGCGAACACATCCGCGTTTTGGGAAAGGAAATCAATTAACTGGCGCTTCTCTTCCTCGCCAAGCCCTGAACCTATTTTTGTGGTTCGGTTTGGCCTCAAATGATCAATTTGAACATCAGCTAGAGGTTCCTCGGTCAACACCGGAGGCACCTCCTCCCCGTTTATGCTGGGGGGAGGCTTCTGTAATTGCTATTGTGGGCTATCAGATCGGATGTGAGCTTTTCCCTTCCCTGCGGCTTTCAGAGTCGCCAAGTAACATTCTTTTGCTGCAACCTAGTCCCCATGGATATCAATCACCTTATTTCCATCCGGACTCAGACATCTCATCACTTAGTGCAGGGTCGATGGGACTCCCTGGACTCTATGAATCTACCCTCTCCCCATCAACAGATTGTAGGATGGATGGATCTTTACTACTATAAAGCTTTCCACAAGTTTTTTCTCGGCAGCTCGAATAATCAACTCTACTGTGCCGATCGGTTCGACTCGCTTTCCATCGAATCCCAACAATGGACTCCCAGTACATTTAAGCGCCTTTGGCTTGATTTCTAACCGATCAAAGGTAACCCTTAGCATGACATTCGCACTACTCCCTAGATCAATTAGCACCCTTCGTATTAAGCACTCCGCCACTGTCAAACTAGAGTGTTGACACTGCCTATTCGCCTCTTTATTTGTGCTTGGTGGAGGCGCGTTCGGAGCAATTCTTCAGATTCTGTTGTTTGTTCAGGTCGGCCATGAATTGCATTTATAATCTGAACGGGCTGAGCATTATGGTGATTCAGCTTCTGATTTCTCTTAACTTGCTCAACTGGTCGATTCTGCTCCTGCATTGGCCCTTAAACATATCTTGTAAATTCTCCCCTTGTGATCATCATCTTCACTTGCCTCCTTAAGTTCCTGCATTCGTTAGTCTGGTGTCCAAAATCACTATGAAAAGCACAATGTTTAGATTGATCTCTCTGTTCGCGAGGTTGTCTAATTGATAAGGGGGGACATAACTTATCTTTGTTTTCTTGGTACAACCTTGCCAGAGTAACTTTGAGTGGAGTAAATGACTCCTCCTTTTAGGGCCTCTTCTCTACCTTCTAGGAGGTCTGACGCTGCAGAGCTTGCTTTTGCCGAATCTTGGCTTTGGACTTCTCTTCTGTGGAGATAATAGATGTCTTCCTTGCATTAGCTATTTTTTCTTCTTCTAGACGCACGAAGCCATTGGCTCTCTCATTCAGATCATCCATAGTCTTCGGCGTATTCACCACTAGACTTGTGTGGAATGGTATCCCTCGGGTCATTGCTAACTTGAACGCTTGAACTGCTGTTGATGGATGACACTCCATAACCATACTCTTGACAAGGTTAAACCTGGTGAGAAAAGCCTGGAGTTGTTCATCTTCGTTATGCTTCATTGTAAACAGGCTTGATACATCTTTAACCAGACGTTTATTTCCATAGTATTGGCTGATAAACTTATCACACAAGTCTTGGAAACTAGCGATTGAACCTTGAGTCAGATTTTTGAACCAGTTGAGGGCTGGCCCTGAAAAGCTTATAGGGAAGCATTTGCACATCAAAGGGTCATTGTTCGTATTCAAAGCCATTTTCAACTGAATGTGGTAAATGTGATCGATCAGATCGGTCGTTCTATCGAACAGAATGAATACTGGCATGGAAAACTTCCTCGGATTCGGAGCATTCAGGATTTTGTTAGTGAACGGTAATGCAACCGTTCTTGCGAAGGAATGGAGTGCTTCATTCTCCCTTGAAAACCGCAGTGGAATCGTCGGATCTGCAGGTCTTCTTTCTAAACTGTAATCATACGTCGCCATTGAAGGCCGGTAGGGTGGATCAAACGATCTGTCATTTGTGAATTCCCTGTGCCACGGCGATGGAGCTCCTTGATGGCCAAACTCCATTGCTTCATTACGTCGTAACCTTCCCTGAGTTGGATCAAAAGTGGTAGCTTCTTCTAGTATGATCCGTTCATGATGTGGATCCAAGTGGATAGATCCTTTCCGCTCCTCCACCTAACGGACATTTGGAGGTAAATCGTTTGGCACAATCTCCTCGTAATGAAGATCCATACGATTGTTTCCTTTTGGATCATCATGATGAGCAACACTGGATGGCACTACTCCCTCTCCTATTAGAAGTGGCCTTGGAAGAGCAGGAGCCTCACGACGCTCCATTCCAGCTCGCAATTTTGCATTCTCTCTTCTTAGTGCTTCGATTACACTTATCAATTCATCGAGCTTCGATTGCTGGCCATTATCCAATGGATTTGAGCTCTCACCTCCGATTATCATTCCTGATCGGAGTAAAGTCATTAACCATAATTTTTCGGACAGTTCTCAGTTTCGCTAATGCAATCACACTAGGTCTAGACTTGAATTGGCTGAATTCTGACCTTACAAGACCAGATCCGAATCTCTGCCACTGTGGACCTGTTAGATATAGCTCTGGCAAACAAAACACAATCGCATAGATCAATTGAATAGGCACAAACCAGAACTACGTAGATCGAACGCGAATTTCTTCAAAATCAACCAGAATCAGAATTCGGCAAGAAGAACAACGAATCACTCACGATCTTGATTCACTTTTTAGAGATCAAGCTTCTTCCTCACGAATCACTTACGATTGAATCACTTTTGACCTATCACAAATCAATCTTTTATGATTCCCACGGATAGCACCATTGAAGATTCCAAAAATTCCTCTCTCTATTTTGACATAGTAACTATGCACTTCAAGAATTTTTCGATCCTTTTTTCCCTCTATTTTCAGCCTATTTATAAGCTGTTACATGCCTTTTAGAAGCTTCCCACCTAACCCCTGGTGTTGGGCCTCTTCTTGGGTTTCTCGAGCTACGGGCCTCATTACATTTAGTGGATCCTCGGCTGTTTCTTTAGTTTTGGGCCTGTCTTGTTAAGAGCCTGGTTCGGATCTAGGTCAATTATCAGGCCCATTGCTCATCATGTGGGTTGTACCCAGCCTGAGCCATTTTTGGTATCCTCAGCCCGTGACACTAGATATTGGTAGACTCAGATTTCTAGCCAATCTATTGGTCCTGGACATGCACACTTATGATATGATACTTGGAATGGATTGGTTATCGTACTACCATGCCCAAGTTAATTGTTATAATAGGACTATTGTTTTTACCATACCTGGTCAGGATATATACGTCGTCGTTATGCCACGTTCTAACAGGATTACTAGCACATATTTGTTCCATATGGAGGAGGAAATGGATGAGGAAATTATTATGTCATTGGATAGCATACCAATCGTATAGGACTTTCTGGATATGTTTCAGGAGATTCCAGGGTTGCCACCTAGTCGCGAGATAGATTTTGTGATTGACTTGGCTCCAGGCACTACGCCTATTGTTAGGGCACCATACAGGATGACACTATTAGAGATGAGAGAGCTAAGGGATCATATTTAGTAATTACTCAGCCAGGGTTTTATTCGTAGAAGTACTTCACCCTGGGGAGCACCAATTCTGTTTGTGAAGAAGAAGGATGGTTTGTTTTGCCTGTGTATAGATTACAGGGAGTTGAATAAGGTTACTATTCATAACAAGTACCCTTTGCCCAGGATTGATGATCTTTTTGATTAGTTGAAGGGAGTTATATACTTCTCTAAGATTGATCTACGTTTTGGATATCATTAACTTCGGGTTAGAGAGCAAGATGTTCCGAGGACAGTGTTTCTTACTAGATATGGTTCTTATGAGTTTTGTGTCATGCCTTTCGGACTAACTAACGCACCAGCGGTTTTCATGGACTTAATGAACAGAGTCTTTAGGGCTTACTTAGATCAATTTGTTATTGTCTTCATAGATAACATTTTGATTTATTCAAAGTCAGAGGACGATCATGCTAGACATCTTTGTATAGTTTTGCAGACGCTTCGTGAGCACCAGTTATATGCCCAGTTCTAGAAGTGTGAATTTTGGCAGCGGGAAGTGAAGTTTCTGGGTCACGTGGTGTCAGAAAGGGGAATAGCGGTAGATCCAACCAAGGTTTCAGCAGTAGTTGAGTGGGGACAACCTATTTCACCTACCGAGATTTGGAGTTTCCTCGGATTGGCAGGATATTATTGTAGGTTCATCCAGGGATTCTCAAAGATAGCGGGACTACTTACTCATCTGACTAAAAAGGGTGTACGATTCGTGTGGGATGAACACTGTCAGAAAGCTTTTGATGAGCTAAAGCACAAGTTGACTTCTACACCAGTTCTGTCTACTTCATAGAGCGGGATTGAGTATCTTGTCTACATAGATGCTTCTTTGCAAGGTCTTGGATGTGTTTTGATACAGGAGAAACGACCGATTTCATATGAATCTCGAAAGCTTAAGCCTCATGAGCTTAATTATCCAACACATGATTTGGAGTTGGCAGCTGTGGTCTTTGCCTTACGCATTTGGAGGCATTATTTGTTGGGAGAATCCTTTAGATTATTTAGTGATCACAAGAGTCTACAGTATTTGTTCACTCAGTGGGAGCTGAATATGATACAGCGCCGATGGTTAGAGTTTGTGAAAGACTGTCATTTCTCTATACAGTACCATCCCTGGAAAGCGAATGTGGTGGCAGATGCACTCAGTCGCTGACCCATTGCTTGTTTTTCTGCTCTATTCACTACTGAGTAGAATGCTTTGAAGATGCTGGATGAGTTTTCGGATGTTTTTATGGCTTACGTGGTAGTTACACCTTCGATTATTCACAAAGTTTTGAAGGCGCAACTCACGTATCAGCAGTGCATCGACAAAATTGCAGAGATAACTTCTGGGGAGTTCCCATTTTACTATGTTGGGACTGATGGAGGTTTAAGGTACAAGGGACGTTTAGTGGTACCTTCTACTGATGATTTGAGGAAGGATGTGATGACGGAAACTCATCATTCTGAGTTTTCTGTTCATCCAGGAGGAGACAAGATGTATCAGGAAATGAAGCGGCAGTTTTGGTGGGCGGGTATGAAAAAAGACATTGCTATTTTTGTTATTCGATGTAGCATTTGTCAGATGGTCAAGATTGATCATCAGTGGCTACCAGGAGCTCTACAGCCACTACCGATACCGGAGTGGAAATAGAAGAGCATTTCTATGGATTTCGTGGAGGGATTGCCTAATTCTTTTAAGGATCACAATTCTATTTGGGTCATCATTGATAGATTGACTAAATTAGCTCATTTCTTGCCTATTCGCACTGACTTCACTTTGGAGCAGTTGGCGAGGCTTTACATTTTAGAGATTGTGAAGCTGCATGGCATTCTGTTATCTATTATATCGGACAAGGATTTGAGCTTTGTGTCAGGATTTTAGAAGAGTTTTCAGCAGGCTTTGGGTATAGAGTCGCATCTTAGCACTGCTTAACATCCTCAGACGGATGGACAGACTGAGAAGGTTAATCAGATCATGGAGGATATGCTTCGTTCGTGTGTTCTTGATTTCAAGGGCCACTGGGAGAATTATTTGTCACTTATGGAGTTTACATATAACAATAGTGTCCAGAAGACTATTGGTATGGCACCGTTTGAGGCATTGTACGGCCGACCATGTCCATCTCTTGTTTGTTGGATAGAGGTTGGAAAGAGCATATTTTTGGGTCCTGAGTTCATTAAGGATACTTCTGAAAAGATTGCTCTTATTAGGGATCGCATGCGCACTACCCAGAGTTGGTAGAAGAGTTTTGCCTATCGTCGCACTTGTGCTTTGGAGTTTCAGGTTGGGGATCAGGTTTTACTCGAAGTGTTTCCGATGAAAGGAGTAATGCGCTTTGGGAAGAAAGGGAAGTTGTCACCGTGGTTTGTCGGTTCATTCATGATTACGGATCAAGTTAGCGCTGTAGCTTATCGGTTGGCACTTCCGGATAATTTGGATCCTATACATAATGTGTTCCATGTTTCCATGTTGCGAAAATTTCTGCGAGATGAAGATCGGTATCAATATATCGATGTTGGGGAGATTGAGTTGCAGTCGGATGCAACATATTTGGAGCCACCGTGTCGTATTGTCGACCGTTGGGATCAAATTCTTCGTAATAAGGTTATCCCTTTTGTGCATATTTAGTGGAGTCATCACAATGAGGCTGAGTCTACTTGGGAATGGGAGGATGTCATTCGCTCGCAATTTCTTGAAATATTGGAAGAAGGTAAGAGCAAATTCCGAGGATGGAATTCCTTTTGTTAGGGGGGAAGAATGTAATACCCCTAATTTTAAAAGGATAGTCTCGGCATTTTAATAATTGTTTTATTACATTTTTATTTGTTTATTTGTTATTGGCTTGTTTATTTGAATTAATTGATTAATTATTTTATTTAATTGTTATTTGTTTATTGGCCTGTTTATTTGAATTAATTGATTAATTGTTTTATTTAATTGAGTTATTTGTTTAACGTGTTTATTTAATTGTATTTTTATTTTTCTTTAATTGTATTATTTTTTTCTTTAATTGAAGTAATTGTTTTAATTATTTAAATGAGTTAATTGGATTAGATTAGGGTTTTATTAATGTTTAAATTAGATTTTGTTATTCTTTTATGTTTCACGTTGTGGCTGGCTAGGATTTAGTTAGGGTTTTCTGTCTCTAATTATAAGTGGACTAGGGTTTTTTTATTAGCCTATAAATATACGGTGATAAGTCTGCAAAGGGGTTGTAGAACCTATTCACTAATAGAGATATAGAGAGAAACAAAGAAGGAATTATGTGAAAAATAGAGAGTTTACAATCGGGGTTCGGCTATGAATTTAAAGGACGGACCTAAAAGGAGGGAAGGTTGAGCAGTAGGAGGTTGACAGTGATCGGACGTCGTCGGAAAATTTAGGAAGACGGCGACGAGGTTTTTTGATTCAAAAATCTCACAAGCAAGTCTATATTCTAACTCCTTCCCTTAAACCTGTGTTCTG